GTGTATAAATGTCTGTGTGTTTGTGTATAAATGTCTGTGTGTTTGTGTATAAATGTCTGTGTGTTTGTGTATAAATGTCTGTGTGTTTGTGTATAAATGTCTGTGTGTTTGTGTATAAATGTGTGTGTTTGTGTATAAATGTGTCTGTTTGTGTGTGTGTTTGTGTATAAATGTGTTTGTGTTGTGTGTGTGTTTGTGTTGTGCGTTTGTGTATAAATGTGTGCATTTGTGTTTAAATGTGTCTGTGTGTTTGTGTATAAATGTGTGTTTGTGTATAAATGTGTTTGTGTTGTGTGTGTGTTTGTGTATAAATGTGTTTGTGTATAAATGTGTGCATTTGTGTATAAATGTGTCTGTGTGTTTGTGTATAAATGTGTGTTTGTGTTTAAATGTGTTTGTGTATAAATGTGTTTGTGTTATATGTGTGTTTGTGTATAAATTTGTTTGTGTTGTGTGTTTGTGTATAAATGTGTTTGTGTTTAAATGTTTGTGTTGTGTTTGTGTATAAATGTGTTTGTGTTGTGTGTTTGTGTTTAAATGTGTTTGTGTATAAATGTGTTTGTGTTATATGTGTGTTTGTGTATAAATGTGTTTGTGTTGTATGTTTGTGTATAAATGTGTCTGTGCATAAATGTGTGTTTGTGAATAAATGTGTGTGTGTGTATAAATGTGCATGTGTTCGTGTATAAATCTGTGTTCGTGTATAAATCTGTGTTTGTGTGTGTAAATGTGTGTGTGTGTGTGTGTTTGTGAATAAACATGTGTTTGTGTATAAATGTGTGTGTGTGTGTGTTTCTGTGTAAATGTGTTTGTATTTGTGTATAAATGTGTATGTGTGTGTGTGTATAAATGTGTGTTTGTATATAAATGTGTGTGTGTGTGTATAAATGTGTGTGTGTTTCTGTGTAAATGTGTGTGTATTTGTGTATAAATGTGTATGTGTGTGTGTGTGTGTGTGTGTGTGTGTGTGTATAAATGTGTGTTTGTATATAAATGTGTGTGTGTGTTTGTGTATAAATGTGTGTGTATAAATGTGTGTATTTGTATATAAATGTGTGTGTGTTTGTGTATAAATGTGTGTTTGTGTATAAATGTGTGTGTGTTTGTGTATAAATGTGTCTGTTTGTGTGTGTGTTTGTGTATAAATGTGTGTGTTTGTGTATAAATGTGTCTGTGTGTTTGTGTATAAATGTGTGTTTGTGTATAAATGTATGTGTTGTGTGTGTGTTTGTGTATAAATGTGTTTGTGTTTGAATGTGTTTGTGTATAAATGTGTGTGTTTGTGTGTAAATGTGTGTGTGTTTGTGTATAAATGTGTTTGTGTTGTGTGTGTTTGTGTATAAATTTGTGAGTGTTTGTGTATAAATGTGCGTGTTTGTGTATAAATGTGTTTGTGTTGTGTGTGTTTGTGTATAAATTTGTGAGTGTTTGTGTATAAATGTGCGTGTTTGTGTATAAATGTGTTTGTGTTGTGTGTGTTTGTGTATAAATTTGTGAGTGTTTGTGTATAAATGTGCGTGTTTGTGTATAAATGTGTTTGTGTTGTGTGTGTTTGTGTATAAATTTGTGAGTGTTTGTGTATAAATGTGCGTGTTTGTGTATAAATGTGTTTGTGTTGTGTGTGTTTGTGTATAAATTTGTGAGTGTTTGTGTATAAATGTGCGTGTTTGTGTATAAATGTGTTTGTGTTGTGTGTGTGTTTGTGTATAAATGTGTGTATCTGACCTGTGTCCTTGGCTGTCAGGCGTCTCCGTGGTTTCAGTTTCGGGGGCGTGGCCTCCACAGAGCTGTGGGGGAAGCTGACCTCTCTGTAGATGAGGGGGAGGCTCTGGGCAGGCGGGGGTCCGGTTTGGGCCCCAGGCAGACCCGGCTTCTTGGTGGGGGGCAGGTAGGGGGAGCTGTTGGGGGACAGAGAACCGGCCGGGGGTCGAGGGAAGCAGGAGGGGCTGTGGGGGCGTGTCACGTGGTTTGGGATGGTGGGTGTGGCCTGGAAGGAGGAGGGGGGAGGTCTGGAGGGGGGTGTGGAGGAGGAGGGTGGAGGGAAGGGTGGCTGACGCTGGTTAAGCTGATTGGGGGGCCACTGTGTGTCCTGGGGGGTCCTGGCCTCCTGTTCGTCCCCTCGGTTGATGGCGGGGTAGGGAGGCCCCTGGCCCTGCCGGCTGTAGGTGTACCCCACATCTGTCCTGGGGGGCCACATGTTGGACTGTGGCCCTTCTCCGGGGCCCCCAGACACCGCCGGACCCCCTGAACTCATCACGCCACATGTTGGAGGTCCCTGTCTGTCCCGGGGGTACGGGTACAGGTACTGACCCTGGACAGGCCGACGCTCAGGGCCCATGTAGCCCCCGTTTCCTGATCCGTAGGGGCCGAACACGTCGGACTGTGGGGACCCGAAGGCCTCGCCCTCGTGGCGCTTAGCGGGTGGAGGGAACACCCCCTCCATCGGACGCTTGTAGCCCTGCAGACACAGAGACCAGGGGTCTCATTTATAAAGGATTGCGTGGAAACCATACTAAAAGTGAACGTACGRCCAARAGSCGGAAATGGCGTACGCCAAAAAAAAATTCAGATTTATAAAAC